CAATTCTTCTGGCACCCAGTAACAATTTCAGTCTGTTCCCTGAGTGAACAATTCTCCTGGCACTCAGTAACAATTCTGTCTGTCCCCTGAGTAACAATTCTCATGGCACTCAGAACAATTCTGTCTGTCCCTGAGTAACAATTCGCTCTGGCACTCAGTAACAATTCTGTCTGTCCCTGATAACAATTTCTTCCTGCCCTCAGTAACAATTCTGTCCCTGAGTAAAAAATTCACTGGCACTGAGTAACAATTCTGTCTGTCCCTGAGTAATGAATTCTGTTGACTCCCTAACATTCTCTGGCACTCAGTAACAATTCTGTCTGTCTGAGTCCCTGAGTAAAAATTCTCTGGCACTCAGGGTAACAATTCTGTTGTCTGTGGACCCTAACAAGTAAAAATTCTGTGGCCCTAATAAACGTTTCTGTGGCCCTAAGTAACTAATTCTCTGGCACTGAGTAACAATTCTGTCTGTCCCTGAGTATGAATTCTGTGCCCTAACTAGCGTTTCTTTGTCCCTAAAGTAACGATTCTGTGGCCTCATTAACAAGTCTGTGGTCCCTGAGTAATGGGTTCTCCTGTCCCTAAGTAAACTTCTCTCTGTCCCCAATTCTCGTTTCTGTGGCCCTAACTCTGTCCCTGTCCCTAGTACAGAGCGGTCTGCCTCTGTTCAATGACTGCAGCAAATGAAGATTTCCAAAATGGCCGCTATATATACCATCGACCATTACACATGTGCTGGCTGGCTGGCATGCTGATTGGCTGATGCGATCACATGTCGTTGAGGAATGCATTATGGGGCAGCGCGCCTGTAGTCTGCGCGCCTTCCCCGACATCCCCGCCTCCGTCGCCGCACATGTCAGCCGCCATTTTCGGAAAAATTTCGATTCGCGCGTCCGAATTAGGCTGTTTTTTCGGATTCTGGCACGAATCGAAATTTTTCCGATATTCGACTCGAATTTCCACTTCGGATACTTCGATTCGCTCATCTCTACTCCTTACATTTATGGTCAGTAGAAATGTTCCTGCTCATACAGATAGCTAAAAAGGTCATTGTTTTCAGTGGCAACTTATCTGAGTGGCAGAGATGGTTCCTTTCTCAAGGAACCCCTAGCAACCTCTGGGGGTACCCCAGGGTTCCATGGAAACCTGGCTGAGAATGGCTGATTTAGAGGCCTAAAGGTTGATTTTGGGGTTCAAATTTGGTAATTTCCCAGATATAAAAAATAATTCAAATAATACCATTACAACAACAAAAGAAAGAAAAAATCTCTAGCGCCGAATCTCAAATGATATTCCGTGAAGTGTTTTCCTTTAACATAAAATTAAAAAAACTTTATTAATAAACAGCGGAATAAGAAATTGTATTTTAACCCTCATTTACAATTTACTGAGAAAGCCAATAATGAAAATTGTCGTAAATCCCCTATCCCATTTCTAATATTTGTGTTATGACAGTACGTGTACTCTGGGTTTATGTCGACTGTAAATAATTTAGAAAATCGTGTCAGGTACAGTGCATTCCAAGGTTTACTTGCAAATTTTAATCAGGGTAACATGGAAGCAATATGCAGCCTAGATTAAAATATATTCTTTCACCTGTATGCAGTCCAGTTGACTTAGTATATTCTGATGTCTCTGGAAGAAATGGTACATCTTGCATGACAGCGGAAGGCTGAAGACAGGCTTTAGGTACTGTATAAAGAAACATTTATTTAACTCTACCTCCATCCATCCTCACCAAATTAAAATAAAAATGAAAAACACGGAACACCTCTACCTGTTTGTTCCAAGACGCCTGTGTATTTTTTTATTTTTTTTTTTTTTACTGATCTGCATGCCGGGAAACAATCTGTTCATACAAATGGGAAGTACATGAGAAAATGATGTTAGGATTGGCGGAAAAAAAAAAAAAACCACAAGACGAACACCTTCATTAGAAAGCCGGAGCAGCGAAAGGCGCAAACCTCATTTGGACTCACTTCCGCCGATGCACATTTTTTTCGTTTGATTTCATTTTTATGCTTAAATAAAAGAGGGTGCGTCAAACGCGTCCGCATTCGGTGTGCCGCGACGGTCATAATCATAACAAAGTGTCCCCGTTATTGGGAATCGGCAGTTGATATGTCAAGGTGTTTTGTCGCTGGAAACGAGGAATTTTTAAATATATCATTTTATTTTTATTTTTTTTTATTTGTGACTATTTTTACAATGCACTTTGGCTTTTAAGGTCTTGTCGGATTTTTATGATGCAGATGTAAAAATTTTCTTTAATGTAAAGCAAGGCCATTTGGCAAAATTCATGGCGGCTTAATAGGTAACCGTTTCAGGCCGTTACGTTCATGAGCGGGTTCAGATTTGAGAGGTGCCGGGAGAAATCTTTTACGACTGCAGGTATTAAAGCAAGCACGGGATTTAAATGTGATTTCCACTGCCTTCCTTCAAATTTAAATTATTATCAAAATATTTTCAGTGCTACATGCAAATAAAATGACACGTATTTGCGATTTATTTTAAGGCCATGCTGCTTCATTCAGTATAGAACAGAAGGGGCAAAAAGAATATGTAATACACAGTAGCCCCTAGAAGCCAATCACAAAGGATAGCTTAAAATGATCCTAGCATTGCATATATTTGCCATGTTAAAGTATAGGAAAATCCTCACCTTGTAAAACAGCCCATTCAATTTAAAATAGAAATGAAGAACAAAACAGTAAAATACGTTTTTACCTAAAAATACCTACTACCTAAAAAAAAAAAAACATTATAAATACCTTTTACCCCTTTTTTTAAGTGATCACATCCCCTCTGTTATCAGCTGCATGAGCTCACGGAGCTGGGGGAAGAGAAACAGCAGCACACTGATCTTCAGAAACAGCAGGACACTGGTCATCAGAAACAGCAGCACACTGATCTTCAGAAACAGCAGGACACTGGTCTTCAGAAACAGCAGAACACTGATCTTCAGAAACAGCAGTACACTGGTCTTCAGAAACAGCAGGACACTGATCTTCAGAAACAGCAGTACACTGGTCTTCAGAAACAGCAGGACACTGATCTTCAGAAACAGCAGTACACTGGTCTTCAGAAACAGCAGGACACTGATCTTCAGAAACAGCAGTACACTGGTCTTCAGAAACAGCAGGACACTGATCTTCAGAAACAGCAGGACACTGGTCTTCAGAAACAGCAGCACACTGGTCTTCAGAAACAGCAGGACACTGGTCTTCAGAAACAGCAGGACACTGGTCTTCAGAAACAGTAGGACACTGGTTTTCAGAAACAGCAGCACACTGATCTCCAGAAACAGCAGCACACTAGTTTTCAGAAACAGCAGCACATTGGTCTTCAGAAACAGCAGGACACTTGTCTTCATAAACAGCAGCACACTGATCTTCACAAACAGCAGGACACTGGTCTTCAGAAACAGCAGCACACTGATCTTCAAAAACAGCAGTACACTGATCTTTAGAAATAGCAGCACACTGGTCTTCAGAAACAGTAGGACACTGATCTTCAGAAACAGTAGGACACTGATCTTCAGAAACAGCAGCACACTGATCTTCAGAAACAGCAGGACACTGATCTTCAGAAACAGCAGAACACTGGTCTTCAGAAACAGCAGCATACTGGTCTTCACAAACAGCAGAACACTGGTCTTCAGAAACAGCAGCACACTGGTCTTCAGAAACAGCAGCACACTGGTCTTTCACAAACAGCAGCACACTGATCTTCTGAAACAGCAGCACACTGATCTTCTGAAACAGCAGCACACTGATCTTCCCAGTAAATGGCTGTACCAAAAAGGGAGCAGGCTGAGTTCCCAGCACAGCCAGAAAACCGACCACGCTCTGCTCTCATGCCTAGTGTGGTCATTTTTTAAGAGAAAAGTAGAGGAACTGGCAGGAACACCAGAGATTTCAAACAAAGGAAGCAACATAAAGAGAACAGGAGACTTTTTCATACAAGGACATGGTACAGCAGGCACATATCAGGAAGATGAAATGTTGGGTTTACATGTTGGGTTGTAAAGGCTGAAGGTTTTTTACCTTCTTGTATTCTATGCATGAAGGTAAAAAACCTTCTGTGGTCTGCTCCCCCCACAGTCGCCCTAATACTTACCTGAGCCCCATCTTGATCCATCTTGAGCTGTGCATGGGAGCAGCAACTCTCCTGGGTCTCTCTCTCCTCAGTGGCTGAGACACAGCAGCAGGAGCCATTGTCAATCACAGCCAATGAGAAGGGAGCTGAGCCACACTTTGTGTATCTTATAGACACACAGGGAAGGGTTTGGGAGCGAGCACACACGAGTGCCCCCAGAACCAGCAGCTCTCTCTAGGAAAACTAAGCATGGGGGAGGAGCCATGAGTGCCTGCAGGGGACCAGAGAAGAGGAGGATCCTGGCTGCTGTGTGCAAAACCACTGCATACAGCAGGTAAGTATGACAATTTGTTATTTTGTAAAAATTTGCCCCAAAAAGTGCAGCATGGTAGGTAATGTGTAAATGTAACACTTCCAAGCAGGGGCGGACTGACCATTTGGAAACTCGGGCACTGCCCGAGGGCCCGGGGTCAGTAGGGGGCCCCATGAGATGCCCCTGGTACCTTTTTCATAGGCTTTTTTGAGTTTGGGCAAGGACACAGGGGCCCCATGATCCCCTATTGCCCGGGGGCCCCATGATCTGTCAGTCCGCCCCTGCTTCCAAGTGTTTATTACCTCTTGCAGAAATCACAATACTTCTCCTGGCGTTGCCTTTATCTGCTTCTTCTTCTAGATGGATGGAGCCATCTTTGTTCCGGGATCATCCAGGATCAGTATTTCGTTTTCTGGTTTAGATGGTGACTTAGGTATGACGCAGTCATGTAAATGCTGGAGCCTAGGCAGTTCCTCACTGTGTTTACAAATGTCTAACACAGACCAGCCCCTGGTGCAGCCTCTGACCTTGCTACAAAGTTACAATGTTGCAGTCTGTTCACTGGGAAATGCTTCCTTCTGTCTGCAGCAGGTTGGTGACATCATCTTATCCTAGGCAAGGTCACTAAGACTGGTCTTTATAATGATACATTGGATAACATTTTTTTTTGTTTTTGAAAAATGATACTGTTGCTGTTGTGGGATGCTAGGAATTTATTCCTGCAGACTTGTAAAGTTACTGAAAAGTCCACTATACAACGACCTTAACCTCCCTGGCGGTATTCCCGAGTGTAGCTCGGGGTAAAGTTTCAGTACCAAAAGCGGTAACCACGAGCTACACTCAGGCTTACCATGTGGCGTTGCACAGGGATTCCCTACAGCGCTTACCTTGTCCTTCGCTCCCGCGATGCGTCCCCTGCAGCGTCCCCGGCCATCTTCTCCGGCCGATGCCGGCATCTGGCTTCTGTGTTCCGGTCCCTGTGACGTCGGGACGTACGGGCGCCGAAACCGGCAGCAAATTTGAAAATGTAAAAAAAATGACATTTTTTTTTAAAACGATTATTTCATAGCAAAACATTCCTGTATCAAACCATTTCACATACATTGTGTCTTTGTCCTGCACCCTGCCTGCATTTTTACTGTTCTTTCTTCCTGGAAACTTAGAAAAGTCCACGGCGTCCAAAAAGCGTCCCTTTAGGTCAAAATCGGTTTTAGACCAGCTAGAGAACAGCGATAGTAAATCAGAACCACTTGCAGAATTGAGTGATAATGATTTGTGGGGAAATTCGTCATCAGACACTGAAAACGATTTTGCGACTTTGCTTAGCGATGTGCGAACTTGGCGCTATATTTCAAATTTCAGTGTTTTTTGGTTTGATTATATTATTGAATTAAATGTATTATTATTATATTATTATTTTTTATGAGTATTTAATAATAAGTAAGTAATTACTAAGAATTGCAGGCCTACAATACATAACACCAAATTTCCATGCAAAAAAATGGTACCGCTTTTGGTACAAAATTCCTGACATAATCATACCGCCAGGGAGGTTAAAGAGTAACTCTGTTTATAATACGAAAAGAAACAATCCCCTCTGGATGATCAATGCACAATGCAAGGATTATATTTATAAAAAAAACCTCCTGCGCTTAAATGGATCTCCTACTAGAAGCTGCTAACACCCACCTTTTAACCAAAAAAGCATGTGACATATAAGTATTAATTGGTGTAGCGCTAATATCAAATGGACAATATAAATACGTATGGAACAAATAAACATAAAACCAGACTCCCCTTATGATGACCCCAATGGGGGAATGTAGCCGTGATTGGCTAAGTGAATATAGTGGTTCCCTCCTAGGAACACAATACACAAACAGCTGTAGGTGAGACACCACTCAATCAAGCAATGAGTGATGATAGATACACAAAACAGTCCACTTCAAACATATGATGTGAATAACTCTGCAAACGTGACGGTGCCACTGGTGTCACAATCCTTAAGTGGTCTGGGTGCCCCCTCACCTCGTTGCAATGACCCCAAGGGTCAGCTCCTATGTTATGCAATAGGTTTGAAGCTCAGGAGCCACCTCTTCATTCAGGGACCACATAGGATACCTCAGAAGAGCCACTACCTGAGCGCCATATTGGGACTCATAGTACACCCATAACATGAGGATGTTTGGCTTGTGATCATCTATTTAAATGTGAGTGGGCACGTTAATGTTTTTACAATAATAAAGTACTGTATTATGCTATGGAGGATCTTTTTTTGTCTCTGAACATGATCCTGTTGATGTGAGCGATATTTATAAAGCTGTATGGATAGTGGAGCGAGCGCTGATATTAGTATCGGTAATAAGCAGCTGAACACACTAAAGGGTACACCAAAAAAGCCCTCAAATGAATCAATATAAAATAGTACAGAACTAAATAAATGATTAATGTCGTCTACCAAACGCATGTATATGATAGATGCGTTTTGTGCCACAAATAATACTGAGGAATATTACTCAGAAAATCAGCATATAAAATAAAAATGAAGTAAAATGCAAATATCTATAAGAAACATATAGTCATGACGAGTATGTTGATTTAAAATGTCCAAAATTATTTAAACTTCTTAAAACTGATGCAATCTTCAAAAAACTTCTATATAGTCCCAGAATACTGATTCCACTTGAATGAGTGTGTAGATAAACATATAGAATGCGCACTCACCAGAAGCGCTAATGAAAAGCACGTTGTATAATAAGTTTCCTGAACATGCCCTGGTCCTTTGGGTGTAATCAGGGTGTGTAGCCGGGGATTGGATGATCTTCCCAATGGTACTGGGAGTTGATAGCCAGTGCCAAAAATCAAGCTTTTCCGGGGTGCTGGGATATTCACTGAAGATGGTACATTCACTGAATATGATACTCCTTCACGACCCAGGTGATGTTTTACTCTGCCAACCATTGCCTGGGTCATGTGTGGAGTCACTCTGCACATGCTCAGTTTAGTGTGTATAGCTAGAGATTTTATTTTCTTGGGAGAATGCATGTGATCAGCACAAGGCCAATCAGCACTGTCCAGACAGAGGTCAGGGGTTCTGCATCATCCTAGAGCAAAATGAAAACCTCTCCTCCTACAAGCTTTAACCAGTGCTTTGCTGGACACTGATAGAATTCACAAGACTGCTCTAACTGCTGATGAGAAAAGGTATTTAGCAGTTTATATTTACTAAAATAATTGCATTTCCATGTTGTGTGTACTTTGGGAGACCAGATATAGTGTATGCAGGGTCCGGGGAGACCAGATATAGTGAATGCCGGGTCGGGGAGACCAGATATAGTGAATGCAGGGTTCAGGGAGACCAGATATAGTGAATGTAGGGTCCAGGGAGACCGGATATAGTGAATGCAGGGTCCGGGGAGACCAGATATAGTGAATGCAGGGTCCTGGGAGACCAGATATAGTGAGTGCTGGGTCCTGGGAGAGCGGATATAGTGAATGCAGGGTCCGGGGTTTAGTACACTTTCAATGTGCATGAGGCCTAAGGCAGGCCATACATGGGTCGAATTCAAAACAAATTTTTCTTTAGAACATCAGAAATTGTGTGCATTTTGTAATCTGATGGAACCACCATTGATTTAGAAATTCGAACAAGCAAAGCACTCCTGATTTGGCTGTACTTCTTTAATGTATGTCTTTTTCTATCTGCCTACAGTATAAAAGTTTAAACCAGACACCTTAAAGCTGAATTCCAGGAATTTAGCAACTTTGTAAAAAGTGCATGCATACTATGATTTAAATCCAATGCGGTGCCTTCCACCTCCTGGACTAATCTCTAATATTTATATCTGACAGGTTATTGAGCTCCCGGGGGAGACACCAGGGCTGTGAGAGGAAAGAAGCATACACATCAACTATATTCAGCCCTCCCCTCTGCTTCCCATTCACAGAAGCCTTTGTATTTTGTGTACCCTGTGTCCACATGGTTTTATGGGAGGCGGTGTCTCCATCAATCAAGATATGGCATCCCACCCACTGTGTACTTTTTACGTTACTGGGCATGGAGGAGGAGGGAGGGACTGGGCTGTAATTTAGTATTTGTATATATGCTTAATGTGTGATGACAAAGTCATGTGACCTGAATAGCTCCAATCATAAAGCAAATGTTCTGTTTAGTAATATACATAAAACAGAGCATGTGCAGACTTACCACTGCTGTTCTGTACAACCAGTACAGATTGGATTGGAGGCAGTAGAAGGAGGGGAGGATCAGAAAACAGCAGGATCAACCAGCCTTTTTACACAGGATTAACCCCTTAGGTTCTACAGTGAGTATAAAAAGGATGCTTTACTGCATATACAGACTGATTTTAGTATTGTGGCCTTAGTAACACTTTAAAGTATTGCACTAAAATAGGATACATTTTTATCTTGATTAGAGTTCTCTGTTTTATTGTATCTTTACATTTAGATTAGTGAACTGATACATGCAAACTGAAAACAGATGTGGATGGAAGCTGGGGTTGGGAAATGCCAATCTGTTTCACCTGGAAACATAATTGACTCCAAAGACCTACTTGGTTCTTATTTAGCTCTGTGGAGTGTGTAATATCCCGCAACTGAACTCCACACATGTGACTCTTTGGGTCAGAGCAGGGGCGGACTGACCATTTGGAAACTCGGGCACTGCCCAAGGGCCCGGGGTCAGTAGGGGGCCCCATGAGATGTCCCTAGTACCTTTTTTTCATAGGCTTTTTTGAGTTTGGGCAAGGACACAGGGGCCCCATGATCCCCTACTACCCTGGGGGCCCATGAGTTGTCAGTCTGCCCCTGGTCCAGAGTCTTCTATGTTCTTCCCTGCAGAGGAAGAGGGTCCTTCTTCATGTGTCCACATTGCTGTTTGGTTGACATGGACCCTTGTAGTGGGAATGGGTGCTCTGTTAGCTAGGATTTCCCACTTTTAGGAGTATTGTCCCCTGTCACTAAAGTGATTTTGGTGGTGGTTGGTCAGAGAAAGGGCTGTACAACAGCAAGATGTAGGATGCGAGGACGTAGCGTAGGGAGTTTCCACTTTCTCTTTCCACAGAAGGACCCATAAATAAGAAAGAAGTTGAGTTGAAGTCACTCATTATGAGTTGTGGTAAATAATTATTCCTATTCAAGCCACTTTAATGAGCACCTCTCCCCTCCGTAACACCTAACCCTGGGACTGAGTTATACTCCAGCTGCAATGTGCATTAAGAGCACATTTTTGGATAAAATCTATGGATGCAAGTGACTGTTTCCTTATAGTCAGTGAACATTTTAATTGAACCATGTCTTGTGGGAACTGGCAACGCAAGTTAGCCAAGTTTGGTTTCATGGGAATCTACATGCTGTTGGTATGAGTACTTGGCTGGCTGGTGCTGGACTGGACAGGAGTTGGATTGGCCTTCTATTCTTACTGAAAAAAAGGCATATCCAATAGCTGGAGCAGTTTAGAAATTAAATATAGTTCTGGCTGGGAAGAATAGTCTAGTGTAAGAGGGTCTACTTGCTTGGTGGGTAGAGAAGGTAGAGTAGAGTAGCCTAGTGTAAGAGAGTCCGCTTGGAGGTAGAGAAGGTTCCCCTGGATCTGTATGCCTAGCAATACATGCCCCCATATGTCATCGGGACCCACTGTGGATTCGATCTGAAACCACTGGAGATTGAGAGGCCTCTTGTAAGTTTGTGAACAAAGGTTTCCTGACTTGATGTGAGGATCGGTTTAAATGACTAACCTTAGAGTCTCAGCCCTGCCATCATTGAAAATTGAACCATGGACCTCAGCGCAAGAACTGGGTCAATAACCAACAGCCAGGGGACACTAAATGCTTCCTATTGGCTGTCCAGTAGTTGCATTCTCTCAGGTTCTATATACTAGCACAGCATAATAATTACAGGAAAGGAGAACTGGTCAAGACGGGCGCAGACTCTAGTGCTGGATCTCCGGTCATCACTTACAGATAAGTGCCAGTAAAGGACACAGAAAGTAGAGTTAGGTGATTAAAGACCTTAAGAAGGTATTTTTTTTAAAGATGGCAAATAAGTTGGAGGAGAGTGGAATGGAGGGATGGAGAGGAGGTAAGCTTTGACCAGAAGTGGACTTTAATTATTAGCATTCTGAAATCTACATAGAAGAATATCCTACACACAAAACAAATACACTAGTTTTCAGAAGCCAAAAACAGTCATACTGCAGCAAAGGGCATGCAGTGTAAAGTAGGGAGAGCAAACCAAGATCCCAAAGACTCCTTCAGAAATACCATTTGTGACCTCTAATCTTACGCCAGGTTTTAGGTGCTATTTTTTCCTACTGCTTTCACATCACGGAGGATTATATCTTGCTTCCTTACAGCTACTTAGCAAATCTATCTTTAATGCGGTAATAAATGTTTTCTAGGAATGAAATGGAGGTGTTAGCTGGTAACAGCATAAACGTCAATCCTGTGAGCATGTTTGAAGACTTCTGTGTACTCTAAGCCCCAATCACCATCTGCTATTACCCAGAACGTGAAGGGAAATAGCACCTATTTATAGATAGGGTTTGTATTCTTGTTTTGTTCCCCCATAAGTCTTCAATAGAGTGTTCTAGCATTGCAAATAAAATTATTTTTGTAATATATTTTGATTCATCTAAAGTACAACTCTTGGCTATTTTATTTATTTATTTGCAATATTCCTCTGGAGCAGCCTTTCTCAACCTTTTCAGCATGGAGGAACACTTGAAATAACTTTCCAGTCTTAGGGAACCCCTGCTAAGAATGACTATATCTACAAATCTACAACTCATGATATATTACTGTGATGGTCAGTAGGAAGAACGCAGACTGTCCCCAGCAGTACCTGTTCTTTACCACAAGAAGTGCTCTGTCTTCTGGGGTGAATGACATCCAGTGCCAATCAACCTGAAAGACTGAGGACAGACTGAGATTGCAAGGCGTCATGGCTCCGCCCTATGGGAGGGCATCACAGTGGTGACCTATACTCTATGTGCATTGATACAAAGAGCTATGATGATCACATTAACGCCTATCTTTGCGTTGTCCAGGACTGCCCACCTCCAGGAAAAGATTTGGAAGGAAGAAGATCCAACATGTCATGTGGACAGCCAGAACACATCAGAAAGACGTAAATAGAAACTGATAAGGGGGGCCTTAAGGGGTTAAAATCCGGGAGCCCGGGGTTGGGCTTTAATATAACAGGAATTGAGAACAAAGGGAAAATAATGTGAACTAATGTTCAAAGGTTAAAAGTTGAAATGTTTTTTCAATTCTAGTTGGGAAGCATTTGTGAAAGGATTTAGGCTGAAATATATTTCCTGTAGAAAATTCTGTTCCAGGTTTACTTCAGTGCTGAACACATGTGGGAAGGTCTAGGCACTTGGTCATAGTATCTTTGATTGGCTGATTTACCCGTCACCATTGTCTCCAGGAATGATAAGTATTTTACCCCATTTATTACTTTTTATTCACACCACAAGATTGATTTAGCTTTATAAAGAATTCTTGAGTATAGTACCAATTTAATATAATTGAGTGACTAACTGTATTTTTCAGTGAGGTCTTTAGGAGCATTTTCCAGAGTAAGAAGGTCTCCATTTAGTATTGTGTAGCTTACGAATGGCAGAGTCTCAAGGCAGGGAGTCCCAATGTTCAGCTTTATATATACATATCCCAGGGAACAACAGCAACTCAGCCACGATGTGGCACGACGCGTAAAATGACAGAGCGGGGTCAGTGCATGCTGAAACGCACAGTGCGCAAAAGTCGCCAACTGTCTGCAGAGTCAATGGCTAAAGACCTGCAAACTTAGTGTGGCCTTCAGATTAGCAGAACAACAGTGCATAGACAGCTTCATGGAAAGAGTTTCCATGGACGAGCAGTTGCATCCAAGCCTTACATCACCAAGTGCAATGCAAAGCGTCGGATGCAGTGGTGTAAAGCATGCTGACACTGGACTCTAAAACAGTGGAAACGTGTTCTCTGGAGTCACCAATCTTGCTTCTCTGTCTGTCAATCCGTCTCTGGGTTTAGCAGTTGCCAGGAGAATGGTACTTGCCTTACTGCATTGTTCCAATTGTAAAGTTTGGTGGAGGAGGGATTATGGTGTGGGGTTGTTTTTCAGGGGTTGGGCTTGGCCCCTTAGTTCCAGTGAAGGGAATTCTTAAGGCGTCAGCATACCAAGACATTTTGGACAATTTCATGCTCCCAATCCGATAGAACACCTTTGGGATGAATTAGAGTGAAAACTGGGGGGCCAGACCTTCTCATCCAAAATCAGTGCCTGACCTCACAAATGTGTTTCTGGAAGAATGGTCAAACATTTCCATAGACACACTGCTAAACCTTGTGGACAGCCTTCCCAGAAGAGTTGAAGCTGTTATAGCTGGAAATGGCGGGCCAACTCAATAATGAACCCTACGGACTAAGACTGGGATGCCATTACAGTTCATGTTCGTGTAAAGGCAGGTGTCCCAATACTTTTGGCATTAGTGTATATATATATATATATATATTGATACCCATTTTGCCCCGAAATTGCCAAGTTGCCAGATCAGGGGACTGTCATCACTTATTTACAGATAGCCCAACTGATTGAAGGCTTTTCTGAGTTCCTCCAAAAATAGGTCATTGCAGCTAAGACAATCAGCTTAACTAATATTAAAGGAAATATTTGTCTCCAACATGTTGTAACAATTGTGGCTTTTTGTATATATCTATTGAGTAGCTAAAGAGGGCCCATTCTCCCTTTATAAGCAGGCAAAGCCTACAACCTTAAGCCATCTCCTTTCATTACACCAACATTGTCCATGCAGTTGAGTGACGTCTGACTGCCACTTGCCGTCTCCCATCAAACCCTCTCCTTATTTCAAAGTGCCTTACCATCTCCCTGTTGAATATTTGAAAGACATTAGCAAAAAGGCTGATCTGTCTTCTTTCAGCGCTGTTGCCCAATTTTTTTTTCCTGTTTCTTTCAGCTTGATTAAGCAACAATAACCTGCCCGTTAAATTGACTTTATTATATTTCTGCTTTGAGAATTTCTTGTGCAGCGACGGATATAAATTGCGTAATTCTCTATTCAATTAAACTCAGTGGCATTGTCTATAAAACGTCAACGTCACCCGCTTGACATCTGTGCGTAAAAGGGCCCTCGAATGCCAAAGACCTAAAGGAAAAAGATACAATGGTTAAAACTAACAAGTAATTTATGACCCTTCTCTCAGAAAACGAACAGAGAAGACTACAATATTTTTAGCCTCCTTAAGTTTCATTATTATTTTATGAGACAATTCTTATTGCACAAAAAAAAGGTTAGTGTCAAGGGACCGTACTAGTTGAAAGAGTAACGGCTTCGACTTAGTTGCACAAAAATACTTTTCTCTTTTTTTTTTTTTGTCATCCGTTGCATATATGAAAGAAAGAAGCTTGTCATTCCAACTTCACAAAAACAGCGGAAGATGAAATGTACAGCTCCGCTGGGACAGCCATTTTTTCTGTTATTACAGGAGAAAATTAGAACCATAAAAATGTCCAATTTAGGGGAAAAAAAAGCCGCTACTTTAGTGTCATTTGCATAAAAGCTCTTACATACAAATTGTTATAAAGACAAATGGATAGAGCACTCTTAAAGGAAATTGGTTATATCTTAGGTGCTTTGCTTGGAACAACACAAAGGGTTCTTCAAAGTAAAATCCATTCTCAGGTAAATAATCGGAGGAGAGATTTTTCACCTATTTGGTTGGACGTGGACATTTTTCATAAATACCTCATCGAAAACTGTATATTTTGTT